ATCGACATTCATGGCGGAAATGCTTGAAACATCCAACATCCTCAAGTCCGCCACCTCAGAGTCCCTGATTATCATCGACGAACTTGGCCGTGGAACTAGCACTTATGACGGCTTCGGCCTGGCCTGGGCTATCTCAGAACACATTGTCACCGAAATCCGCTGCTTTGGCTTGTTCGCAACTCACTTCCACGAGCTCACTGCCTTGGCAGACCGGTATCAGAAAGCCGTCAAAAATCTGCACGTCGTGGCATTCATTGGAAACGGAAATGAGGGCGAGAGTGGAGCTGAAACCGAAGAAAAGAAAAAGCGCCAAGTCACTCTTCTCTACCGTGTGGAGCCAGGGATTTGTGATCAGTCTTTCGGTATTCATGTCGCCGAGCTCGTGCGCTTCCCAGATAAGGTTGTCAACATGGCCCGTCAGAAGGCTGAGGAGCTTGAAGATTTCACCTCTGCGACAGCTGAAGATGGGCAGGCACAGCTTTCTGCGCCCTCGGTTGACAAATATTCCCAGGAAGAGGTGGAGGAGGGCAATGCGCTCCTCAAGGGAATGCTGCTAAAATGGAAGGCGGCAACTGAGGGCAAAGAGATGACGGCGGAGCAGAAGCGACAGGTCATGCGTGATCTGGCTCAGGCTGATGAAAAATTACAAGCAAATAAGGTGTTCCAGGGTATCACGGCTCTATAAGGATGTGAGCTATTCATGGGATTTGGCGTTCATGGAAGGCATGAGTTTGAAAAGGCATTGTTGTTATTCATCTTTTATATGTTAAGATGAACCAGAATTCTATTTCTGCATTATCCTTATAGTTCTCTGATAAAGTACCAAACAGGTTGTCGACGTACACTCCGTTAATATAGACCCCAGTCACGTGTAGGTCGGTCTAGATGATCGACGCGGGATAGTGACGAAGCAACTTCATTCCAAAATCCAAGTGATCGTTCTTTTTATTGTCTTTAATTCGTTCCTTTGAGACCTACACTTACCCAAAGACTTCTAATCCTGGACTTGTGCTATCGCTGTGCCTCTAAACCCCCCTCGACCGCCTCATCCAGCCCAGCTATGCGCGCAACTTAAATACGGACGGCCTGAACCACCTCGATTCATGCACCCCTTTTCCGTCCTCACCCTTGGGATCTTTGTCGCGGGCTACATTACCGCCAGGTGGGACCTTGTTACCCGTCTATACGAATTGGCCATCTTCGCCTGGGATCACGGTGTCGTGGTATGTCTTCCATCGGCCATCGGTCCTTGGCTCCCCTCCGCCTGCGACTTTATCAGCTTGGCGCCAGCGCAAGTTATATATGCAACGTTGCTAATATGCTTCATAGACACGAACCGCGAAAGGTTTTCTCTTTCTCTCCATCTTCTTTTTCCTCCTCGTTCTACCGATCAATCATCTGGCGTCTAAGGAGGGCCAATTGGTGAGCAACACCGGAATAACCGAAGCTTCGAGCAGCGATCGAAAGATAAAGTGCTTGGTGCTGGTTTAGGAGTATTTGCTGACGGCTTTGGGGATATTTAGCATCCACGCCACGTGAACCTGGGCGTCTCCGCGCGCGAACAGTTGCGCCGTCGAGGTTCGTTCTGAGACTCAGGTGGAGGATGACAATATGCTCATGAGCGATGGACTGTTGCGGGTATTTTGGCCATATGACCTCCCACGATCCTCTTCCCCGGGTGTGATTGTCGGATGGCGGAACTCGGAGCTTGATTTGTTTGTGCTCACGGTGCTGGAAGATGTCGAGGTAGGTGGTTGCAATTGCCTTGTCTGCTTGTTCGATATAAGCTGATCGTGCTTGTGATTGAGTAGTCTCGGAATGTTGACAATGCTCTCCGGGCGGGTATTCTCTTTCGAAATAGCCCTCACCCGATTGTGCGCATCTTCACTCTATGTGGACGCTCTCAGATGCATGTCCTCGGCTCGACCAACTCTCGCGAGTCTCCGACGTCTTTCAACCCTTCCCACCTTGATGTGACTACAATCCCATCCTCGAAAGCTCCTCGCATCTTCTGCCCACCAGAGGCAAACCTGTCTGTCCAGGTTATCATGTACCACCGCCCGCACCCAACGCGCATGGAATATATGTCGCTCGATCCGATTTCACTGGCCTTGGGTGATAAAGCGACAAAGACAGAAGTATGGGGCCCATCATCAGATAAGATCGAATCGGAGGAAGAGGGGGACAAGGCTGGGCCCAAGCTGTTGGTTGAGAAGCTCAAGCTTCATACAGTCGTCAAACACATCCCATCGCAGAAGGAGCAAGCCCTCCCGCTCATTATCAACCAAGTCAACTGCGCCTATGAGATGGGGCAGCTCATGCACAAAAACAGCCATTTGATTGGAATTCGTGCGAAGAGAAGTATGAGCGTCGGAGAACGTGTCGTGGAATCGGCCACAACCTTATGGGGGTTTATTGTCCTTTGCATTGCTCACGTTTTCTGGCAATGGCTTTGGCCCGTCGTCACCCGCATCTTTGTTGTCGGGCTTGTATGCCACCGGTCTGTTGCGGAAATTGTCTTGCGGGTTCTCGAGTGGCGTGCTCGGCCTGATGCTGCTGCTCTTAAGGATATCTCAGCGACAGCTCAACAGGTCGATATAAGGTTGCAGCAGTTTTGCTACTGGCCGATTCAATATGTCAAGCTTCGACAAAGAAAGGATAACTGGGAGAGTGTCACGACCAGTCATCCAGACTATATACGGTTCTATAACAGTTTGTGGCTTGTCGCCAATGATGTGATCATTGGAATTGCGTTGGGGTCCTACATTATTGACAACGCGAACTGGGTCGCTTCGCAAATCAACACGGTCTTGACCGGCTGGACAGTGGAGGGGTTACAGCGCACCATTTCGTGGCTAATGGATTGGCCAGCCGGCTTGAAACTCAATAATGAGCTTGCAGCGTTCCTCGGTGACTTATTCCTATGGGTCATTGAAAACTGGGCAGCTTGCATTGCCAACCTTCAACCTTACCTTCCTGCTGTCATCTACATTGTTGGATGTTCAAGCTTTGCGGGAGCTAGCATGCCCATCGCTCTCTTCTCCGACCTTCTTTCGATCCTGACAGTCCACATTTACTCCTTCTACATCGCCTCCGCTCGCATCTTCAACTGGCAACTCACCATTATCATTTCCCTTTTCCATCTTTTCCGTGGAAAGAAACGCAATGTGCTCCGCAACCGAATCGATTCATGTGACTACGACCTCGACCAACTCCTCCTTGGCACTATCCTCTTCACAGTCCTATTCTTCCTACTGCCTACGGTTGTGGTATTCTACCTGACTTTTGCCTCGGCCCGAATGTTAATTATTTCAATGAAGGCAGCGCTTGACACCTGCCTCGCATTCTTGAATCATTTCCCGCTCTTCGCATTGATGCTCCGTGTGAAAGACTCCCGACGGTTACCAGGAGGTATCCGATTCGAGCTTCGAAGTGAACCAGACAAGAATCCAACGGAAACGGACTCGTCTGCGCTGGTTTCCTACATCCACCTCGAGGTATGTCTCCATATTTAACCAAAAGAATCGCCTCTGAAAAGCTGACACAAGTTCTAGTCTATTCCCCTTCCCCTGCGTGCAATGTTCGACCAGTACTTCCAGTTGGGCCATCGGCTCCGGAAACACTATCTCGCGCCTCGCGTCATCTTCTGCCTTATGACCGGCCGCTTTGTGCCACCCATCCACCGCCGCAACCTCTATAGCATGCAGTACAGCATGCTACCTGCCCGCCGGGCTGGTATGGTAGAGGTGTGGACATTGCTCACCCAACCCAAGAAAGGCAGTGGTGGAAGCAGTGGCTCTGGCTCTATGGGTGGAGGTATTGGATCCTTGAGTAACCCGGTAGCCAAGGTCCCGGCGAATTTCGGTCAGGGTGATCTTCGGAGACGGGGTCATCGCTGATACCAACTCCTCTTGTATATAATGCCGATAATGTTCTTATCCGAAAATAATAATCTTAATACTGCCTAGCCAGAATAACGTAGGATGGATAAAGACACTCGTGGGGCAGAATAGAGACATCAGTATATTTAGTTAAGAGGTGAGATGCTACATACAGAGACCGATATCCAAAAAGCCACGCCGTTGAACTCCTGTCCACGAAATTACATAGTATACATGGAAGATGCATGGTATCGCTGAAAAGAACAAATGGCGCCAGAGCCAGGCTGCTCCTACAATCCTCCGCGAGGAAGAAGGATTTATAGAGGAGCCAGGTGTCCCTCTTCAAGATTTCTTAAGAAACTCTGCATCTGTTTCACTGCTGCCGCTCTTTCGGGCATCATCCACCATGGCGTCAATGCCCCGTTCTTTGAGAACTTTCTGCAAGCATTACGATATCTCCGTCAGACATATTGAACGATTCGAGACTTATAGATATATATAGCATATCACAAGGCAGGGCAGGACTCACATTCAAGCACCCCTTATAGTTCTTAAATAATGCTTCACAGTCATTGGATGAAGTGTTACCACGCAGATATTCTGTTCTGAAATTAGTCGCTGCCATTTAGGCCTATAACCGAAGGGCATAAATGCATACTCTCGCTATACCACTTGAGGAAGCAGGTGTCGTATCTCCTGGTAGATATATTAGCCTTTGTTTAACACGAAGAAGCTAGGTGTGTTCACTAGAACTCACTCTTTGATATCGTTACATTCGGGGGCAATAGAAGCTGCCATATTGGACGTAGTAGGAGGTTATTTACCAAATAATATCCCGCAGACCTTGTACTCTTCTTGCTGGTCGAAACTTGAGTATTTTAGCTGAATGAGAGGAAAGAATGCGGTGACGACTCAAAGATCGGCGGAAGTTCATACAAATCTCGCCACTCTGGGAAGGCGGTCAGAGCGGTCAGGGCGGGCCTACCATTTCTCCATTGTCATTTTCTCGCCGCGACTTTTTTTTCGGGACCTTGAATCTTCATGTCACTGCTATTCCGCGTTTCTTCTTCTCATTTTCCCTTTCGCCAGATCCAGTGAACTGGAGCTCTGCTAGTCATCATGGACTCTGCAGAATTTGCCCCGTTCCAGGACAAGTTAACCTCCGCTCTAGTGCAGGTGACTCGAACTGTCGGACAGCTCTCATCGGAAGACCTGAACTTCCATCGCACCTCCAGCGCAGAGTTTTCCGAGTCGCTAGATGAACAGAGCGCGCGTATCATTGCGTTGACCTCCGCCGTTATCAAAGCTGCCACCGCAGGCACCGATGTGACGGGACCAACCCTTCACGATGAGGATTCCGTCGAGGACAATTGGCGTGGCGTGGTGGATGTGATTGACTCGCTTCTGGAAAAGGCTGATGCCTGCTTGGATGAATTCACTGGCGTGATCAAGAAGCTCAGCCCTTCGCAGGAAGAACAGGCTCCGATCAAGAAAGCGCCCAACTTCCCGACCATCTACGACTATGGCCCCTCCAAGATCCCCAAGCCGCAATTGCTGTTCCATCGCAAACCGGATAACACTGATACTGGCCCCTTCAAGCCTCTTCTCAGGTCTAAGCCTCATGCGATTGTGCCGTTGGAGAAATGCTTGAAGACGAAAAGGATGGAAGGTGGGATTGGTTATCCTCACCCCTACGAGGCCGAGATACTTGCTTCGGAGTACCCAAAACCGGTCTATCAGGTCTCCCCTCCGGTTGAGTATCTGCCGTTCGAGAGCACTACGGCTACTTTCGTCGATACTTTGGATGGAGTCAAGGAAATGCTGAAGGAACTCAAGCAAGCGAAGGAAATCGCTATCGATTTGGAGCACCATGACGTGCACTCCTACCACGGTCTGGTCTCTTTGATGCAAATCAGCACCCGGGACAAGGATTGGGTTGTGGATACCTTGCAACCTTGGAGAGAAGATCTGCAGATGTTGAACGAAGTTTTTGCGGATCCAAAGATTTTGAAGGTCCTGCACGGTTCCACCATGGATATCATCTGGCTGCAACGTGACTTGGGCCTGTATGTGGTTGGGATGTTCGATACTTTCCACGCTGCATCTGCACTGGGCTTCCCGAAGCGAAGCTTGAAGTTCCTCTTGAGCAAGTTCGTCAACTTCGAAGCTGATAAGCGGTATCAGACGGCGGATTGGCGAGCTCGCCCACTTCCACCGGCCATGTTCGACTATGCACGATCAGATACGCATTATCTTCTTTACATCTACGACCGCCTACGAAACGACCTGATCGACAGCTCCACTGAAGAGGCGAGCCATATTGATTATGTTAACGAGCGGTCTAAACATGAGGCCCTGCAACGCTATGAACGTCCTGTTTACGATGCCGTCAATGGACATGGCCCTGGAGGCTGGTACGATCTATTGTGGCGCCATTCGGGAAACCTTCCGAAGGAGCAATTTGCCGTATTCAAGGCTGTTCACCAATGGCGCGATGAAGTAGCGCGCGCTGAGGACGAGGGTTGGCAGTGTGTTTTCCCCAAGCACATGCTCTTCAAGCTTGCCACCGTTATGCCGCTTGACATGGGATCTCTGTTCCGAACCCTATCGCCCATGACTCCCATTACGAAGGAACGATCACACGATCTTTTGGATGTTATCAAGCAAGCCAAGGTCGCCGGTATTGATGGTCCAGAATGGCGCGATGTGGCACCCCCGAAACACCTTGCAAAGGTTCTGGAGGCTGCCGTCACGGAAGCTGTCAATTTCCCCATTGCTGAACGCTACGAAACGTCTCAATTTTGGGGCAACGTCTTGGAAGCCAGAGAATCACCCACTCCTCCAGCATATGCTCTTGCCGCCGGCGCTGAAGCTCTGCGCCTTTCTCTCCCTCTGCCACCCATGCCGACGACCGTCTCCGAAATCCGTGACCACCTTGGCACCGCAAAACAACCCGCTCCTAGCCCCAAGCCCGCACCTACTCCAGCCGCCCAGGAGCCAGAAGAGAAGAAATACTTCACTGTCAAAGACCTCGGCGGTCCCCGCAAACGAAAGGTCACCCCAGTCAGCAATACAGAGCAAGCCCTCTCGATCCCAGCCGACCTCGACGACACAAGCAACGATCCCGACGCCACGCAAAAGAAAAGCAAAAAGTCTCGCAAGGAGAAGAAAGCCAATAAATCGAAATCCGAATTCAACGAGACCGACGCTCCCTTCGACTATGGCACCGCCGATGCCGTCCTCAATGCACCATCTGCTGCCACAGTCGCGCATCCTCGCAAAAAGGCTTTCAACCCGTACACCAAAGCGATGGAAGCCCCCTCAGGCGCGCGGAAGATCAAGCGGGAAACCCCCGGCAAGTCTCTTACGTTCCGCCAATAGACGGCTGGTCCGGAGTCAAGAAAAAGCATTTACGAATGGGGTTCTGGTTGGTTTTCTTCCTGTTATTGTTTAGTTAGCATAGCGATACCCGTGCGTCAGTTGGAGGCTCTGGGATTCTACTTCTTGTATTGTACATGTATAGAATATCAAGTCCTTCTCGGCAATGAGATATAAAGTGTGCAAACTCTCGTAGATTAGATTAGAGCTATTATTTTTATTTTTATTCGTTTTATTTCAAATCATTTCTACTCGGTTGTTAAAAGAAATATTTGTTAAAAGAAGTATTGAGGTGGTCGAGGTACTGTCTGTCTTGGATCTCATTGAGGTCCCAAGCCCCGATAGTAAATGTGAGACAGTGTTTCACTGAGCCCACAGGTTGTATGACACACTCTATGGGGCAAGAGTCAAAAGACGACACCGTCCCTCCGCATTGACCTTTCCCCGCTATAAAAAGAAAAGAAACATCTATGCAAAGTTCAACGGATCGCAAATGACATACACCATTGGTACTCCGTACTTTGTAGCTGGGGATCTTCTTCAACGGAACCCGAACAGGCATAATGGTGCGACGATCATACCCGCTTTAATGGGTTAGGAGAGTAAAATGATGAATTAAACTATATCGCAATGATAGCGAATGGATTCCGACGTAAGCGGAAGGATTCCTATCTGGTAATTGAAGGAGGAGAGGTATAAGATTATTTCTTCCTTTCCTGAAGAATTCCAAGTGGATGGAAGAATGCTCGAACCGTGTGTCGAGACCGCACCCACCCAAACCGCGTTTCAGCCGAGCTGCTTCGTTAGCACTTTCGACAGTCCGTTCTTGCAAATATGGTGGGGGTGCTGGTGAGCCTGTCTGGGAACTCGACTTCCCATCAGGCTCTGACATGCTTAAGGCGATAGTAAGGGCCCTCTTCCGGGTGAACGATTTGAACCGGAGGTCTCTTCTAGACTCCGAGGTTTGGAGTAGTAGGATAGACATAAGGACATGAGAACATGATGTATTGATGTGTATGATTAACTCAAGTCTTGAAGGTGTATAATAACCGTTGATTGTGGTGCTATAGAATTGACTCCCTCGCTATTTCTCGAATATTTGCGCGTGAGCACCGTAGAAAAACATGGTTAATCCTCCGGGGATCTTGCCACGAAGATCACGAAGACATATTATATTCCGTGATACTGCTAGTAAGATTGTGTGGTCCCTAGCGGATACTATGGCCTATATATACCGCTGTAGTGACAATCGGACATTCCAATTGCTGTTATTATCTTCTGGCCTAGCGCGGTTAAATGTTCTTACGTAGCCACTTAGGTGTAGCGACCCAACCTTGGAAGTCATGCTGGGCCTAGACTGAAATTTACTTACAATATGTACAACATGGTGAGCCTGACTTTGAGCTCATAAAAGCGGCAGCTAGGAAAGGAAAGCCCCACCCAAAGGTACGTATATCGAGTACGGAGTAGTGGCGTACAACATAGGTACTTATACCGAGTGCATTAGGTTGGCTTTTATATGCAAGTAACTATGGATGGAAGTATGGGTCTTGATACATATCAGGGTTGGCAAGTGATCTACAGAGCTTTGGCGCGTTTCATAACGGGATGGGATGCATATTGGCCCGTGTGAGTGATCGGCCGGATGATATTTCGAGGGAGTTATGAAGTGATGAAGTCATGAAGCCATGTAGCCATGTTTTGGCTGTAATCTTAAAATGCATGTCTACTGCGTCTGCATATGCGTACTATGCATACTACATACACATGCATCGATAAGGGGAAGTTCGCGGAGAGCGAACTGTTTGCCCCCACCAACTCCACTTTTCTCCGTTTACCCCTGAGCAAAAAGCATAGACCAGGAATGCACTGTCTACCTTTTGAACTTACAACGTCTCGAGGGGAAAGAAAGCAAAGCGGGTTCAGTGCACCCCGCATAGTTTGCTTTCAGGGATTTTATATTAATGACATGGACTATATTAATTGTATAAATTCTGGGATACGGAGTAGTTACCTATGTACATATTATTATTAGACACATGAAAAAGGCGACTTGGAACCTTGAAAGACTCAAAGTTCGGTCTTCCCAGTCCACTGGTACTGCAAGCCCAACCCACTGGTTCAATCCGGGACACATCTATGGGAGAATATAAAATATTAATTTGATAAATATAATACACCCCTACAGATGTAGCCGAGGCGACTTATAGCCTGAGACAATCCATATTCATGTCCGACTATATTGTATATCGTACTTACAACTAAGTGGTATGACTCTTAGAGGAAAGAAGTACTAAATATGTACATAAGTTCCCAATACGTTAGAATATTGAATACGCGTAATTAATTGATAAGGCAAACCCCGAGAGGTCAAATGTTGGTATGGGAAATCATCCTTTGATTAACTACCCAAATCCGAATCAACCTGAAACCAGGTTACTGCGTTGAGTAGTTCAACGCAAGTACTGTATCCATATTCATATATATGGTTTCAAACTATTCCGATTGATACAAACGCAATACAATATACGGAGTACAAAGTACGAAATAACATTCCCGAGACATCCACATGGAGGTCTCGTGGGCTTAGCCTGAATGGTCCAAATCTTTTACAATATAGACGCAGGTACCGATTAGCCCTACCCCCCTGCATACATGAAACCGTGTCACCTTCCTGTAATACGTTTTTATTTGTTTGCGTTCTTGGTTTTTTGGTCGTTTTTGGGTTTGCTTTTTCTCACAAGCCGTTAAGGGAAACAAAAAAGAAGAGAGATCTGACGTCAAGACGTTCTCTTATATGTACGATGTACGAGTAAATTATAGTGCACAGTCCGAGGACTTGGAGCTAGCGCGCATTGGCCAAATCCTTACGAGGACAAGGGTGTTGATCGAGATCTTCTTACTCCGTAACAGTCCATAATCTCCAGAAAGGCGGATGTTCCAAATAGTGGCGAAGTGCATTGGGCCAGGGGTAAAGAAAAGACTCTGGTCCCCTTGCATAACAAGATACGTATCATTCCTATTTC